TTCAGCTACTGGCTAAAGAATGAATATTTTCAATTTCTCTATTAAATGGAGAGGGGATGAAAGTAGAATTTCTTCTCCCTCCCCCCTCTTTTTTCCCCCCTCCCCCTCTTTAAATTAGAACATCTGGTACTTGCAGCTCTTTAGTGGATCTAGGTACTGATAGGCAACTTCAGTATTTGCTTGASCATTAAATTCTAGCATCAGTCTCGTAGTAGCAGACTATGTTTCCTGAAACATGAGGCTAGCAGAGCGTTGTCTCAAGCTATGTGCGAGTAAAAACCCTATGTCTGGGCAGGGAGGGAAAGCAGGGGAACACACCTAAACATGCATATATATACTCCTGGCATCATAATTAATGCAATTTGCAAAGAAAAAGACTCTGCAAAAAGCAGAGACTATGTAGTTTAGCTTGAACCACCAAAGCCATGGAGTATTTGGTGATGATAAAAATAATCAAGATAATCTACTGTTTGAAGAGTCCATCTGTAAGATTTGCATAATCATCAGTTTGAGAGATCTGTTGGCTGGATCTCCAGTTACAGCACACTTGGCAAGTAAGGTGCTGGCTTATGGCAATTCTGCAAATACAGAAAAGATGCATTTTTTCCCCCCCGGCCCCTTTTCTTTGTATGTTAAAATTTCTCATAACTTTAGGGGAAGAGGCGTGTTATGAATGAAGCTGCAAAATGCACACCTTTTATTACAGTGGGTGGGAATGAGATAAATATATTCTCTCTCATTGAGAGATTTTTGCCCAACAGCTTCAGTTCCTATAAACACAAAATTTCAAAAGATTTAAATGGCATCATTTTCACCCACCCACCTGGAAGGTGGGGGAAAAAGAACATCAGCTCTTCCTGTTCTTAAGAGCAAAACCACTAAAAAAATATTATTCAGGGTCCCCATTGATCCTTTTGGAGTCTGCAATGTTCTGAGTTACAGTAAAATTAAACTCCACACTTTTATAGAGTGGACATAAGAGGACACAGAGAATGCTGATGAAACACAAGTCTCATTTATCTTAGTTTCATGTGTCTTAAGGGCTTTCTCATTGTATAGCTCTTCAGTATTTTACTAATTCTGTAACTAGCATCTCCAGAGCATGCTATCTCCATCACTCCAGAATAAATTTTTGGTAAGTAGTACTTAATTAATGCCCAGTTAAAAGGTGGTAAAGTAGGTGCTCTATGTGCTCACTCCTACACTTGTTTCTCATCTGAATAATTACTTTTTTAATTCTTTATCTTACAGCTCTTAAATTCAGTGTCATTATTTATCCAACACTTCAGTCACAGTGAGAAAGTGAGAGAAAAAAAAACGATAAGCGGTCAACTTTATCATTCAGTACTTACTTAAGATGTCTTCACAGTGTTAGAAATCACAGAACAGTATCAAAAGATACAAACAATTCAAGACCTTGCCCTTAAACAAGTAAATCCATCCTCCTGATAATTTATAAATTCTTAAAGCAGAAAATGGCTGGTAGGGATTGGTCAGAAAAACTGGCACATATGGGTGAAATAAACATGATTAGGAGGAGAGAGAGCATGATAACACAAACCAGGTGTAAAGAGTTGAGTTCCTTTTAATCCTTCGTTAGCACTCCATCTCATCAGATTAGCACACATTTTATTCAGTTGCTATCCTCAGCAAGTATAGAAGAAAAATTTAGCTGTAAAACCCAATTGCCTTCTCTATCATAATGCACACCCTGTCCTGGGTTACTTAAAAGTCTGCTATTGGAAGTGGACCCATTTTTTCAACACCTCATCCACATTTGAAAGCTGATACTCCACACAATATAAAAAATTCCATGTTTAGAAATGTACATCTAATGAAAAGAATAGCCATTTTGGAGACATATTGTGATTAATAAATTCATCCGTGCTGGCATTTATGCCAATTTGGACTGTATTTCTTAAATTACAGTGAGTCAATAATCAGTTCTAGTTATTTTTGGTATGGGAAAATAAACTCTCCTAGTGATCAATATTTGTAGATGATTGAGTTTGCAGCACTGGGATGCTTGACAGTGTTTTTCAAGGGCAAGCAGCTTAGGTAAGCTTACTTAAGCTTACCTAAGTAGACTCTTACTGCATGCCTTAGTGGTTACAAAGGATGAGATAGCTGAGTGCCCAGACTCAAGAGGAACTTCAGGGCTCAAATACAGGCAACTGGTTCTGTGTTTGATACTCTTATGTAGACTCTTTTGCCTCCAACAGCTTTGTCTCTTATAGATCCTATATCAAAGCTGTCAAAATGTGTGACTATCTGGGTTACCAAGATAGACATCATGATATGAGATCTCAAATGACCCTAAATAGCTGGACTTTTTCAGCCACATGCATCCAACCACTTTGCTGGCAGCTGCTGTTGAGGGACTTGCTAGCAAATTTACCTGCAGTATTCAGCCAAGGATGGCAACAACTTTGTGACTGCATAAACATGCACTGACTCAATTTTATAAATAGGAATTTTGTTATTTTTTCATTCATAAAACATTTTATAAATAGGAATTTTATTTTGTTATTTCTTCATTCATAAAACATTGGATAGGGTCTCAGAAAAGTGACTTTATTCTTGTGGAGCAGAAGTCTATGAAGTACTTACAATATTTACAGAGTAACTTAGTACTATTTTCACTATTTTTAATGGATACTTAGCGGTTGTTTCACTATAAGCTTAATTGCCTTGTTCATAATTATAATCCCTTAAAAACTGCTTCAGTGTTTTGAACTGGCTGCAGCACTATGGTCAAAAAGTGACTTCATCTTAATTTTAGGACTAAATGTGATAAATAACTCAGATTTCATAGATCTGCATACATGTAGATTTCTTTATACTAATTTATAAGTGAAAGATTCAAAGAAAAAATGCTGTATTGTACATAGAGACCAGTGGTTTCATAATCTGCATTGCCAGGGAAAGCTGCAAATGAAATATAGATTTCAGGTTCCTAGGCTAGTATTCAAAAAGCAGAATAACTATAGGCACTCAGATATTTCTATGCTACTATTTATGCAAGCCTAGATAATACTGTATTGGATAACTGAATATTTAGAGCTTGCATATGAATTTTAGCATTATCTATTTAAAGAAGTAAGAAAAAATGGACAAAAATGGTGGAAGAGCCTTTTTTAAGAAAATCTTATTTTTGTCTCATTGGCATTTTGGAAGGGCATTATAGATCGCTTAGAAATGTCTTAGCCATGAAATACTGCATCAGAAACAGAAGCATGCATCAGCTTGTGCATGACACGCTTTAGCATGCTTGGAGGTATAAAGAAGCTTTGGCATTGTGGAGAGGCGATGTGTTATGTACATTGTGTGGGAGGATACACCAAGCAGATTTGATTGCATCATCTTGCTCTCTTTTTTCCTTTTATTTTCTTTCTTTTTCTTTTTTTTTCCCCTTGCAGATGGTAAAACAAAGACTATAGTGAAACCCGTTTTCTCCCAGGAAGAGGTGGGAGGGAATTTTATATGAACAAGAAACTTTGCCTGAAGTCAAAATCTGGGGCCTGGACTAATGAACTACTTGTAATTCATATTGTACTAAATATTGCTGGAACGAGGCATGTACTAATCATGAACCATGCCAAACTATGCATAATTGCTATGCTTTCTCTGTAGCAGTAATTAATTTGTGTTAGCAACTTTGATTAATCTTTCTAATCTAAACATAAAGTGCTCCTCAGACATGAAAGTGTTGTTACAGACACCCAGTGAAGGGTGTTTCAAACAAGTTGGGGGAGGTGGTAGGAGAGGGGCAAAACTCAAAGTTTAGTACGTGTTTATGCAGTAATAAAAACTGCTAATAGTTAAAGCTTTTTTATTTTGTGACAGAATTCATGGTCTAAACTGCAGGCTTCTAAGCATAACATATTCCTCTTGAAAGTGAAAGATGGATATCATTAATTCAATGAGAGGGGTTTACCTTTGAGGCCTGCTCCATGAGGCTAAACGAGTTGTTTGCAGAGTGGAGCACTGAGGTTCCACTCTATAGAGGCCAATGCTATGTATTTAAGGATTTGTACTGTTGAAGGGCAAACTTATGCATAAATTCATGGCCTGGAGGAAAGCACTATTCTAGGTATGATTGTTCAACTACCACATTGAGTCAGTCCTCACTGACGGTCTGAAATTGGTGTCAGTTGTGTTAGCTGGGATTTGGATGTGCCTGCTTTTCAGGAAAGATATTTGCTAAGATCATCAGCTTAGCATATGTTGACAAAAAAAAAACCTATCAGATGTTGATGTATGAACTTAATTCTGACATCACTGAAAATTAAAGTTTCCACGTTTCATTGCCAATCTCAGCCTAAATGTGGCTTGCTATCAGAGGAAGCAAAATCTGAAAGGACTTAAGATGTCAAAGGATGATTGCGATTTCCTACACCTCATAAACTGATGCTACTCCATCTATAAGAAATAAAATTTCTGAGGCAGAGAGATGTACAAACCTATTAAAATTCCATACTGTTTTCAGTAAGCTAACCTAGTGTTGCCATTTTATTCCTCAGATATTTTAAAATTACATTATTTTTCTCTGTTTTTTTTTTTTTTGTCCTGGTATCATTGTTTCCTGGTAAGGAATATTGCTGCATGCAATTCATGATAGGCAGAATGACATGATAATTTTCTTAAAATGCTGCTATTACTTTTAAGTCTTGAATCAGTTCTGTTTTAACAAGTTAGAGAAATATTTTTAAATACATAAACTGTTAGAAAATTTAAATCTGATTCCTAAAAGTTACATTTCTTATGATGCTATCCAAAAAGGAAACACATGTAACATTTTTTAACAGCTGTGGCTTGTGTCCAAATATTCTGTAATCGTATCAGTAACCTTTTGGTATCAGTCAAAATATGTAGTATTTACAGTTGTTGAAACAAGCTCTGTAGGAGACCTTTTTTTTTTAAATCAAGCATGGGACTTTACATTTATTTGAAGGTTTTCACAAAAATAAGGGCAACATCATGCAGATTCTTTACAACTAGAATCAGTTATGATTACAATTTGGAAATAAATTTAAGTAGACACAAGGAGATACAGTGGTACATACACACTCCATTTATGACATTAATTTAGTGTACTGATAACTCTCAGCAATACATCAGAAGTCTACAATCAGCTGATGAAAGACTGTTTAAGGAGGAAAAATATGCTTCAATTTCTCACACTATTTAAGAGGCTTGATGAGAATTTCAGTGACAATTGCCTCTTAAATTTTGGAGGCAAGAACAGATCAAGATTACACTCTTGCAGTACAAAACGTTTACACACAAAATACACATGCATTGCAATGCATTGGGAATGGGTAAAGCAAGAAGAAACCCATAGCTCAATGCCTTATTAACACAGTTCTACAAAGGGGTCTCAAATGGGATGGTACAGTTCAGTCACAGTAAGGCCACAATATTACAATGGATAAGGACCTTAAAATTTAGCATTCTGTATTAATAATAGAACCTTTCCTTTTTTATAGATTTGTATATAATGTACCTGAATGGTAGGCCATCAAAGTCATTATTTTTTAAGGTTAACATATTGCTTAGTACAACAGTTAGCACAGTAGAGGTGGGTATTGTCACAGGGAAAACAAAACCTATATAACATCCACATCATAGACTATATACTGTGTGCAACTAGATGAAGCTGTCTAATCAGAAAAAAGACTAGCAAATGATTTCCTCAAGTTTCGAATAGTTTCAGCTTTTGCTTCATCTTCATTCACGGATGATCGGAAGAAGGATGATTCTGTGAAACTGAAGGCATTTGTCAAAGACTGCGACTTGCTGCAAGACAAAAATGCAACATGTTTTTTGTGTGGTCATACTGCGTGCCAGCTTCTGTCCACATATACATAGTATAATTTGCATAAATTCAGAGAAAAGGAAAAATATTTATGAGAACAATTTGCATTTGAACAAAATAGATGTTCACACAGGCGATAGTTAGATGTAGCATGCAGAGCTGCAGCAATACAGCACATTCCTTCCATAGTTGGATTTAAGCAGCAGGAAAATCTTTTCTTTGGAGAACACACTGCTTTTTTTTTCACAGATCTGAAAGACTGATCTGAAACACTGGATCCCAGTAAATCAGATGATGTAAATTAGGACTTAGGAAAGAAACTAGAGTTGCTGCTAAATCCAAATGACTACATCAGGAACCCAGTGTCTTTTGGATCATTAGTTCTGTTCCTAAAGGATGTGAACAGTCACAAAAAAAAAAAAAAAAAAAAAAGGTGCATCAGAGAGAGTTTGAAGAATGAGTCCTAAAGTTGTCATGTGTTATTTCAGGATATGTCAAGTAAAGTAAGTTTTAAAAAGTAGGCTTGAAATTAACTGGTAGAAATTACTGAGTTACAATTGTTTTACATTGACATTTATGCATTAGTTTAGGTAGTTAACTGATTTCATTTTTGAGTCAGTGTAACAAGTCTTGGCTACAGTAAAACTGAAACATTCTTGTTATTCAGATTGTCTTATTCCTTCTATGGTTTGCAACTTCTCTAGCTTTAAACTAATAATGTACAGCAAACAGTGCTACAGGCATTTTAGGTTTTTCATAAATTATAGTTGTGTTAATGAGAATAGACTGCTAAATGTTTGTTTGTACTCACTGAAAGAGGGAGGGTGGGAAGCAGCACTTGACTTGATTAGTAACACAATAAGTAGCCTAATTAAATATTTATTCACAGATTAATAACATGTACATACAGGTTAGGCAACAGCATGTGGGTGAATACAAAGCATGCACATGCAAATAGAGTTAATCCTAGAGGCAGGAGATTTGAGTCTTGCTGTGGACCTAAACTGCTTCTTGAAAGTTAAAAAATCTACTCTTCCTATAGCTTGCATCTTAAAAATTTAATTCATTCTTTAAAATCTTTTAAATAGAAACTATTCTCTTCCATTTGAAGAAGAGAAAAATGAATGAACCTAGATTTGAAGAAGAGACTTAAGAGAAAGGAGAAGACTGGAAAACTATATGTAGTAACTCTGTTTTTCTTAAATGTCAAGACATTCACAAGATTTCCTAAACTGATTTATAGTTTTCTATCTTTCTTATGAAAAATAACCCACCTACTCTCCATTTATACATAAATAATGGATGAATGAGTTCTATGTCTATAAACCAGAAGAAATGCACTGTCCTAGGAAAATACTCTATTCAGAAGTAGCCATCTTTGCATCTTGCTACCTAAAAAGTCTAGTCAGTGAGTTATGCTCAGGCAAGGACTCCAAATTGGCATGTAGGTGGGTGGCGATGTGTGTTGCTTGGATAAAACAAAAATTACATGCTGGTCTTAGTACTTATCAAGATGAGCAGACTGCATTGTTCACTCTTTACTGGTAATACTGTGAAGGATACTTTAGTACCCTTCAATACGATGTGAAGAAACAGTGAATCATTGCTAACATCTGGTCCATGTTTTCCATTTATTGGGTTTAAACTGTGAGAAGATTCACTGCTAGAGATCCTTTCTGTATTCCTCACTGTAGCATGTGGTGGGCTGGATGTTAGCACTCGTGTGGTATGAGCACGTGTGTATGAGGATTCTGCGTGTCCTGCCACCTTCCCTGCAAAGTGCCTGTGTGTACTGCTTGTGCCAGCTGCTCAGTAGCCAGGCATAAGCATAAAAGAAATGGGACTGTAAAGACGCAGAGTTTGGCAACCTGAGTCTAACGTGTTCATCTAGATTGTTCCTGAGACAGGCCTTTTAAAGCTAGAATCTGCTGTTTGAGTGAGTGCAGGGTTAAAAATTGAAATAGGTAAGACTTCCTCTTTCCTGTGCAGGCTTGCAGCACAGCCAGATCATCAGTCAGTGACATAAAAAAAGAGGAAAAAAAGGAAATGAGAAAAGAAAGATGATGAGTTTTAAAATCTGACCTAGCTGGGGCAGAAAACATGCAACTAATTGATAAAACTTTGTATAGCACTTAGGATATAACGAATAGTGTGCTGTCATAAACCAAGGTAAGTTTTAAAAATTTTTTAACATCATTTAGGAACATATAAACACATTTTTTCTGTATTTTAGACCAGCTCCCAAGTTACAGCTAGGCAGTAAATCAAACTATATTGTAGGAAGAAAAGAAAACTGATGAAACAAATCTTACTTAAGTTGTGGATGAGACTGAGGCTTCTGTTGGGGAGCAGGCTGTGGCTGCGGCTGTGGCGGTGGCTGTGGCTCTGCTTCCACTGCTAGCCGGCTGCCGGAGGGAGCTGGAGCCTGGGCACGCGGCTGCTGGGTTGTAGGTCCAGGTGGGCGCTGTGGCTGGGAAGCTGAGGGCTTTGCTGCCTGCCCAGGGGGGAACATGCGCTGTGGCTGCAATGGCTCCTGGCTTTGGGATTGCATTCCTTGGGGTTGCACTGGGCCCCCTAGGTTCAGTACAAGAAAAACTTCATAATGTTATAGTATCACAGACTTCCCATTAGATTTCATATCTAACACTTAAAAATAATATCAGAATTTGATTAATTCTACTTTTGAGGCAAAATTCTACTAATATGAATTAATATGTACTGCAGTTCAATGTAGTGAATACTACAAAACACATTTGGTACCTTAATAACTTGCTTGGAGCCCTCAGTTCTTCATCCTTATAATTGCTAAATATCAAATTTAGACTAGCTGTAGCTTTTAGACTAGCTGTAGCTTTACTGACTTCAACTAAAATGTATCATTTGGGGTCAGCTCAAGAAGAGTTTGTGAGAGAATGGAATATAGCAACAGGATCCTTTCAGCAGTATGACTGCTGTACAGTTACTGCAGTTTTGTTCCTCCAAATTTTAAAAATTATTTTTGTAATGTTTCAGATTCACTCCTATATCAGTAAAACATCTTTTATATCAATACTTGCTATCTTTTGATAACTTATTTAACTTTCTACTGAAATACTTTAAGAACTGTACAAGAAACAGATGAAAATCATTACTTCTTCTTTACCAAAGATAATTTCTCCCCTTGCAAGGAAGTACATGGCAAAATACTGTAAGAAAGGTGAAACTAGCACACGTAGTAGATATTCAGATTGTGAAATCCATTGCTGAAAGGTACTGCATCACCATATGGTTGTTTTTGGTGCTTTCTCACTGAAATTTGCTGTGTCAAATAACTGCATGCTGCTTATTTTATCTTGTATCAGATGTCTGAATGTGGCTTTCTTGGGTGAGTTAACTGTTATAACAGACTCTTTATTCTTGCATGTGACAAGGCACACAGCATATTTGAATAAAGCAGAAGAAAGAACGGGATGAATTTTGAGATACTTGTTTGTAGAATGCTCCAGTCAGGATAAGAGCTTTGCTGAGTAATAATTATTACACAAGTCAACTGATCCAGATATTCTGAATATTTGGAAAGTTTCTGTCTTACATCTATTTAACACAAGTAAAAGATTTTATCTTCTCAGGTCTCTAGGAAAAAAGAAAAAAAGGTCATATCTGGAAATACTGTTGCAATATGAGGTTTCTTTCTAAAATACACTATTATGGTTAGCTTTCTATTTATATGAGATTCCAGTGTATGTACTAATGCTTTAGGAAGTTTTAATATAGTCACTTGTAGCAGTGTCTTGTGGTGTAGAAAGATAAATGGCATGTACTGTATGTTAAGGAATGTGCCTTCATCCTTTATTCATTTGAATCACTTTTGTAGGAAATATTTGAAGGTGATAACATGGTCTTGCAACAACTCAGTAACAATTGTTTGCTTATTATTCTCCCTTCACTCAGTATTGAAAAACAGAAGTCTTTTTTCCCCACTTGCACATACAGGCTTGAATGCCAGAAACTTTACACTGAAGACAGATATAACTTTCTTTTATTGCACATTAAGCTGTACAAGATATTTCACATAAAAGATATACTGCTGTAACACTTCTAGCATTTGCCCACTTTCTTGCAGCTGGGTTGTACAAAAGGCAACAATCATGAAAGAAACTTTTACCAAAAATAACTCAACAAAACTGAACATTAAACCTACACTGTAAAACATCTGTTCCCTGTTATCCACAATATTGCACCTAGGCATGCTTACATGCAGAAAGACATTTTGGCTTGTTTCATGTCTGTGGTATGTAGTAATAGTGTGTGCCCTTGTAACTCCTTAACAGTCAACAAGCTGAAATCCTATGTACTACACCCATCTCTTCTTTGCACACACAGCTCACAGGTGTCATGTGAAAAGCACTTGTGAATACTTGTACTACTACATGCAAAAAAAAAAAAAAAAAAAAAAAAAAAAAAAGAAAAACAAAAAAACCCCACGACTGCTTTAAATAAAATCAGTCATCAGATTCATTTCTTCACCTCAGGGCAGTTTGGTTTATTCACTCATCAGTGTCTGGAGGTAAGGATTTGTGAACCTGATTCTAAGCGGAATTTTCTTAATGTGGAACAAAATAGCCAATGCTATCATTGGAATGATCACTGACCCAGACAAATGCTGATCACTAAAGCAAAATATTCATGTAATTTACTGATAGGTAATAAACAATAGCACTTACCACGAACATTTAAATAGCTAATAACGCATACCTTAATTCTCACCTTACCAGCCAGCTTTTACCAATAAAGGAAACACTAAGGATGATGATTCCTATGAATAACTTTTTTTCCAGTGTTCGTAGGGAAAAGAAAAGTAGAGCATAAGGTTCTTTTCCCTTTAATCAAAATTGTTTGCACAAAACTAATGGCTACTAGTCCTCTTTGTACATATGCTAAATTAAAACTGTAGTTTTGTGGCTCACTTTATGGTATGCTAGCTTTTATATCTAGGGTAGGTTGTTCGCAACAGCCTGCCTGTGTATTTTTTAAATATTTCTGTAATATTTACAAACTAAATTTCTTGTGCAGAAGTCATAAATAATATATCTATAGAAAATCTAGCAGTTGTTGGGCATCTCAAATATTTTTGTATGATGGATTAAAAGCAATTATAATAAATTATATATATTATCTGTTTATGTAAATTATCCTCATATCCACAATATTTTTATATGCATCTTAATGTTTCCGGGTTAAGATAGTTGAGTTGGTAAAGGAAAGAGCAGACATTTTTGTCTTCCATTCAAACCAAAGGGCTAGATCTCCAGCTTGGTTAGAGGTCTTTCAATCTGCCATATTCCAGCATCTTTGTATTTAAAAAACGAGCTATACAGGAAGTTTAATTGTTGAGGAACTTCCCACCAAAAAAACTAGGATTTAACCTTCAGGCAAATAAAATGTTTTGAAAGTATTTGCATTAGTTTTCTATAAAATCACCATAGATCAGAATAACAACAAAAGGAACTAGTTAACTGAAATAAGATACATGTTCACGCTTTCACCAAGATACTGCACATAGGTGGCCCATTTACATAGCTTTGTAGCTAATAATTTAATGCAGAATTACTAAAAATATGAATATGGTATGTAAAATAGAAGATATTTTAAATATTCCTTGGGAAGAACAGTATCATATCTTATGGAGTCATTACTAGAGTTCCACTTCTTCCATATAAATTAAACTCTAATGTTAACAAACTTTATAAAATTATAAATAAAAAGCCTCACTAGCAAATTTTTATCTAGATTTTAAAAAATATATCTGGATCACCTGCCTGTTAGTCATGCACACACACACAAAAAAATAAAGGCTATGGGTATAGTGCGCACATACTCACAAAGCAAAAGTATTTAGATTTTAACCTCAGTTGTATTTTACTTAATGATATATAACACTCAAAAAATACTGTCTAACCACCCATAATGTACAGTTGCACTGAGCTCTAAAGAGGCACATTCTTTGTACACTGTTGACAACAGCCCTGAAATCACAAGTTTTACAGAGAAAGGTAGGTAAGCATTACACGCACAGACATGAACAGGTAAACAACCAGACGGTATAGTTGACACTGCATAGAAAAAACACAGTCCAGGTCAGCACTGAAACAATGCAGAAACTGAACAAAACTGGTAGGTTTGCTTTTAAGATTGTACTTCCTCTTTTTTTTTTTTTTTCTTTAACCCTTTGCTTTTATTCTCAATTGTCTAGGTAGCCTGGACTTGTTTTGGTCCTACTGCAACGCCATTACAGTCGAGAATGTACTGTAAACAACCTTGAGGTGGTGGTCGCTGAGGTGGGATTTTGTTTGGCTCTGGCTCCTTTAGTGATCCACTCTGGAAAATACATTTGAAAACAGAAGAGAGAAAAAAATTAGAGTAGCTCAGTTCCAATTTTCCACTAATTTGTCTTTGTTTTCATAAGAAATCTCGTTATTGGTTTGGGGCTGAACACAATTTTAATTTACTCCAGATAACATTTTCTAGTTTAGTTGCTGCCTGCCATATGAATACTGGACTAATTCAAAGTTGAGTTCTTAAATAAATTTGCTTTCCCTCTGCAGCATGTGACCATGGCATGAGGACTGCCTTCCTCAGGAGTGCTCATGGCTATTTGTGTATGCTCTATTTCCTTCATTTCTCCTACCTTGAAGCACTTTTTTGGATCACATTGGTTCTGCTCTCTTTTTAGGACAGACTAAGTAGAAAGTAGATTTCAACAGATATCTTTGCATAACTTAAAAAATAATTCATTTACAATTAAATTCCCTCGCAGCTGGAGGCACTGACATTGCAGAACTTTTGTTAGTGGTAGTTTCACTCTTTAACTGTAATTGGGAAGGGAGATAGATTACTCCAGGTTAGCTGTTTTGCTAAAGCAAAATGAAAGAAGGAAGCAAACAAGTAATGAAAATAATTGAAATTATTTCATGCTACTCCATCTGACATGTTATTAGAAACACATGTAATACTGAACTTTTCAAAAAAAGGAGATTTATTTGGCAGTATCCTTTTCAAAAATATACTTGTCCAGGGGAAGAAATGGGCCTGAACCAAAGCGTTGGAGTGGAACACCCTCTGGGAACATTAGCATTTGAATCCAAGCTTTGCCTTGGGCCCATCTCTAATATTTTGAAAAGGGAAATATATGAAATCACTGGACATAATTTGTTTTTAAAGCATCTAGAAATTAAATTGCCATCTGTCAAGAGGGAAAAAGCCTAGAATAGATTAAACAGTAAATGTAAAATAATTAAAATGTTTCTTGCAAAATTTACTGTTTTGTTCTGATAGATTTGTATTTGATAATTAGAACTGTAGAAATAAATCTCACTCTTAATGTTGAGAACTCCTACACAGCAAGCTAAAAATTGTAATTTTTAAAGGTTCAAAGACATCAACACTATTGCAGCTGTTTTAGATTGCTTTGTCTCCTTTAAAATGGTAAAAATGGTATGTAGAAAATGAACATGAAAGTTCTAATCCTTCTAATAACTGACTCAGCTGCACAGTTTTTGGTAAGCACCAATGGAAAGATAAGTGATGTACAGGAGCATTTCATAAAAAAGACAGTGCCACCAGAAAATTTTAGATTGCTTTAGGGTGAGGGTTTTTTTTTTCTTTTGTTTGTCTCCTTCCTTTGATTTTCTGAACCACATGTGAAAGTTAACTTTCTATCCTATGAATGTTTTGGTGGCATGTTGAATATGTGTGGTATTTGCTCTGTATAATGCATGGGAGTTCACTGAAGCAATGTGTATATACATCAGGAACTCTTTGGATACTGAGGAAATTAGCATGGAGACTGGAAAACTCAAAATGTTGCCCTGAAGGAACCAGATCCTTTCATATTCTAGCACAATTATTCTGATGTATCTGGCACCTTTCTTTGTATGCCCTTGGGGCACTTGCGTGTTCATTATTGCTGAGAAAGCCTGTTCCTTTGGTGTTGTAGAATTACACATTAAGTGTGCTCTTAAAGGGAAAGCAGGACTATCTGTGTTCAAGGGCCTCCCACTGTTTCCTTCTGGAGGACTGAAATGATCACCTCACTTTTGCTAGAGAGCATATGCACAGAAACCATTCATATTCTTGAGCGAACATTCCCACTGGTACTGCGTGATGAGCTTTCTAGCCTTATGAAGAACCATTAAATAATCTATATAGCTCTCTTTATATCTCCTTTTATTAGGCAGAGGAGGACTAACAAGAATATGAGTGTTTATTTTATTCAGAAACTGCAAATGTAGGCTGGAGATTTAAATTCGTATTTACTTTACTGTTAAAGCAACAGCTGCCAGTTCTCCGTTTCCTCCATGCCCAAGGGCCAAGCAAGTCYGCAGTCTGTTCTTACGCTGAAGCAGTTGTGGGCTTTATCACATGCAGCACCTAACTGACTTGATGTGACTGATTGCACCAGTATTGAAGTAACCTGCCTATTTCTCCATCTGACAAAGAAATTATTTACCCCAACTTAAGCATTCAATGAACCTTACAGAAATTTGCCTCAGAGTTCAGTCTTTGTGCATCCTCTGTAGAAGATGCATTTCTCCCTCTCTAGTCACCAGCTGCAGCTGTCCTGACTTTACCACCCACACTTTTTTTTTTCTTTTAATTTTAATTAGATATCACCTGGTGCTTCCAGGAACCTCACCCACACTCCAGGCCAGTCACATGGGTATATTATTCCTACTAATTAGCCAACCCACCCAGGCTGACCCAAAAAGAGTAATTAGTACTACTTTCCTAATTGAGAAATCTTACTCATGTTTTTTCAATAGTCTGTAGTAATCCAGTCCTTTTCAAGAGTCTTTCTTTTAGACAGTCAGAAATCTTGATATGTGATATTAAAGACAGGCTTTGAACTAGAGTCTTGTTTGCTGTCCTGAGCCAAGGCCTTTAATAAAATCCAGGCTGTTTGTAACACACCAGTTGTTGGCAAATCAGCTACAGGCTGTTACTGTTCACCTCTCCAACGTGGTGTGCCAATGTAATTGCAATAGCTGCTAACTTACAGGCAACAATCTCTCTGAACAGAGATGCTGGACTAGACCTGTCCTACAGATGCATTCACCCCTCTTGTTTTTCCCCTTGTTGCCCAGCCTAGGAGCTCATCCTCTAACCAGCTTCTTTTAGAACAAACATGTTTTCCTACGTTGCAGCTCTGATCTAGCAACATGCCTACTACTTACCTCTAATATCACAAGAAATGAGGATTAGAACAGAGAATATATAACAGAGAGTGGCTCTGAACAGGTTYTTATTTGACGCTCAGGGCTAAAAAGCAAAATTAGCAGTACAGAAACTAGAAGGGACCATGTTCTGTAAGGTTTAGTATTACTTTAGTGAGGTGTGGTAACTGCTGTGGAGGGCGCCCTTTTGACTTTCATTTTATAGAACACAACTTTCATATGATATCCAAATCCCAAAAGAGAAGGGATACTGATGCTGACAGTAAAAGTACTTAAAATTGCTTATTTGCAGAATCTCTCCTGCGCAAAGGGGCTTTATTGTTTATATAACTTTTTTAAAAAGGAGCAGCTTTACTTATGAAAATTTCTAAGCCACATGAATGCTCCAAGTATGCTATAGTGATTTCTCACTTCTGGGCATAGCAATCAATGCTTTGGTTGCATAACAGTGTTTAAGAATATTTGTTAATTATAACCAGAGAAGAAAACCTTCTGTTTGTCTAAAAGATAGATGTCTATAGATGTCTCTGCAGCACTTGCCTTCCTTTCTACATGTACCTTAAATGATCTCAGAGTATTAGCTGTAGAACTTGAGGAGAGAGGGCACTACAGTCTTCAGGGCATGTTGTATTAGGATTTGATTGGTAAGATTACGTATTTTTTCTACTTTTTATATTTATATGCATCCGAATTGATTCATATATATTTGAATTTTGAACAGTCTGAAGAATGTTTAAATGGGTAGGAGCAAGAGCAGCAGCTTGGCAGGGAAACAGCCCTTGGGCAAATGAGATGCTAAAGTGAGTCCTAGCAAAAATTGATTTTGACTTGGCTGAGTTTGAAAATTTTGTGAACTACAGTTGGAGCTGGAATAGTTGTTTTTGGGTTTGGTTTTGTTTGCTTGTAGTGAAATGATAAAAGCTTTTCATAGATATCTGAAGGGAAAGTCATATTTTTCAGGTCAGAAAATATAGAGATCAAGCAAGAAATGCCAAACTACAAGCTGAGTTAGATCCTATAAGGGAAATAAAGAGTATAGAAAAACCCCAAAACCCACCAAACAACAGGAGAACTAAGGAAAAAAAAGGAAAAGGAGAAAAAAAAAGAAAGGAAACCTAAGAACGGGGGTAATTTTGATACTTTCAGTAGGGTTTCAATACTAAATGAATGCTTGAAAGGTGTCGTATGTACAGGAGCAAAATGAGGATGAGAGATTGGAAAGGAGCCACAAATTAGATGGATATAGTAATCAAAGATCTCTTGAGCTGATAATGGTCAGATCAGATGTTCTCCATCCCAGAAATCAGAAATAACTGACTGAAATGCAGAATTCAGTACCAGGTATTTTTTAACAAGTCACCTTGGAGAAAGTGTGCCCTAGTACTAGTAGTAGTGTGCCCTAGTGTGAGTAAGGCAGGAGACAGGTAGTTAGTGAAGAAAAACTAATGGGAAACGTTCTCAAAGGAAGAGTGAATCCAAAGTAGAACTTTCATTAAGTTGGCACAAAATAATAAGTATATGTTACTAAAACATGTAGATGGCACAAAGCACCAAAACATCCTGAAGAATGGCATGTGATTGTAATTAAAATATATATATCAAAGTTAACAATATAATGCCCCAAATCATTTATTTATAGACTATTAACTTGCATCTAGACATATAGACTATTAACCCTGCATCAAAAATGCAGGGTTCACTAGCTGAAAACCAAATGGAAAGATCTGTATGCATTAGTGATTAGCATGGAGCTGCAGTAAAGCAAAAACACAACAAATCTTATCACACATTAAGTATTTCCAGTAAGTTTTAGACATAATGCTGTTGATTATTTTTGTCTCCCCAGCTCAAGAAAGAAAAGATGTAAGCGATCAGGTGCAGAAAAGTGCTATTAAACTGACCAAGCAGATGGATGAGTCTGCTTGAAAGAGTATATCGTGCATTTAGAAGCATTTGGCTTGCTTAGTTTAGCAAAATAAAGGTTAGCAGGCAGCCCAGTTCCTTTTTATAAATATACTGTAGTGGTAAACAACCTGTCAGGAGAAGAGCTAAAGGACAAAAAGACCCTAGATGAAATGGGTATAAACCAACTGAATAAATCTGGATGGGGAATTAGCTGGTATTTTGTAATTTATCAAAGTGGTG